ACCTACCAACCTTGACCCAGCCACCAGGTGCCGCCACCTACCAACGTAGCCCAGCCACCAGGTGCTGCCACCTACCAACCTTGACCCAGCCACCAGGTGCCGCCACCTACCAACGTAGCCCAGCCACCAGGTGCTGCCACCTACCTACGTAGCCCAGCCACCAGGTGCCGCCACCTACCTACGTAGCCCACAAACTCCACGACAGATGGCGCTCTCGCTCTGGCTCAATTCACCACTACCACAAGTAGATTTTCCGTTACAATTTCTAACGCTTTTTTACCACAAGTTTTACAGCGGCCAGGTTACTCGTATTCTATGTAATCAGATTTGTACTAATAAAAGTTGCAAAGATATTAAAAATCCGACCATTATTTTATGAGAAATTTGATAAAATAGTGATACGAAATAGTGCGCGTATTGTGAGCCCATTTACTACTTTCAAAACATTACGCTGTTTACTAACCTAATTCTCGAACATTGTCTTTGATACATTTTTGCGTATTTAGCTTAAAACATCTAAATTTGTCCACCAACAAACATGCAAATCAAATCGGCGGCGACTTCACGGCCGTTGGATTGCCATTTTCTGGATTTCCCCGGAGCTCCACCCACTTGAAAAATAGTACCAGCCTTGTGGCAGTGGTATACTGAGTTGTATGAAGGGGCGCTGCATGCAGTTTGTGTAGCCCAGCCAGCAAGTGTCACCACCTACAACCTTGACCCAGCCACCAGGTGCCGCCACCTACCTACGTAGCCCAGCCACCAGGTGCCGCCACCTACCTACGTAGCCCAGCCACCAGGTGCCGCCACCTACCTACGTAGCCCAGCCACCAGGTGCCGACACCTACCTACGTAGCCCAGCCACCAGGTGCCGCCACCTACCTACGTATCCCAGCCACCAGGTGCCGCCACCTACCTAAGTAGCCCACTGAACTATAACAATATTGTTATAGTTCATTGACGTATCCCAGCCACCAGGTGCCGCCACCTACCTACGTAGCCCAGCCACCAGGGGCCGCCGTTGGTGTGAAGGATGTCGACGAGGCCGGCGTCAGTGGGGTCGAGTCGCACTGCTGGATCCTCATCCTCGAACCAGGGTGCGGCTGGGTCGAGTCCGGTGATTCGGGGCAGGCCAGGCAGAGCTGAGCCAGCCGCACCAGCGACCTGCCCTCCCAAGCTGTGTCCGACGAGGTGGAACTATGCAGAGGTGGAGGGGGACGGGTTAGCAACGAGGCAGTGCCACACACACACATATACACGCGCACACACACGCGCGCGCGCACATACACACACATACACGCACACACACATACACACGCGCGCACACACACGCGCGCGCACATACACACACATACACGCACACACACATACACACATATACACACACACATACACACACACACACATACGCATACACACACATACTACGCATACACACACACATACATATATACACGCACACACACACACACACACACACACACACATACGCATACACACACATACTACGCATACACGCACACATACATATATACACGCACACACACACACACACACACACACACACATACGCATACACACACATACTACGCATACACGCACACATACATATATACACGCACACACACACACACACACACACACGCACACACACACACACACACACACACACACACACA